ATCCTAGCAGCGTGGGCCAGGGAGGAGCCCGAGTCCGGCCCTGCGTGAGCTTGACCTTTCGCGCCCTCCCTACAGGTCAGAGCATCCTCAGAACCGCCAGCCAGCTCCGCACCGCGCTCATTAAATCCCCCATTCATAGGCGTGGGGAGAGTGGCGGGGGGTTGGGGGCGCCCAACGGGCTAGGAAACCCGGGGCTGGGGATAGTGGACACACCGAACCAGCCGACTCCGAAGGTTTGGGGAACCACACTAACCGCTGTGTTACTGTGTTCTGGGCCCAGAAGACAAAACAAAGCAAAAAATTCAGTGCGGTGTGCACCCGTGCTTCTGCGGCAAGACTCTCTGGGCTCTGGGGCAGGGGCTTTCTGGCACCTCAACAGGTTTTGGTTTTCGTGGGGGACGCAGCAGTGAGAGCTTTGCTGGCACCAAAGGGAAGTCAGTGTCCACTTGGAGTGGCACGGGGTCAGGAGTGTCCCAGGCCTCTGCCGGCCTTGGAGAAGCCGCTGTGAGAGACAACTGGAGACGGTTCTCTCTGATGTTCTTAATGTTATTTTCACCCCCTGCCTGCCTCTGTCCCCAGCCACGCTGCTCTATTCCACTGCCCAAGGTCGCTGACTGAGCCTCTGGAAAAAATGAAAACCTGGGGGTAGGGGAAGAAGAGATTGAGGCAAGGGTTATGAGGCAGGGTACTTAGCACTTCACTCCAGAGATGACAGAAGGACCACTGCCCCCTCCCTACACACAGAGAGAGAGAGAGAGAGAGAGAGAGAGAGACAGACACAGACACAGAGAGAGACAGAGAGAGCAGGTGGGCAGGACAATTTGCCCCACCCCAGCACCTGGGGATGGAAACCTAGGGATGCCACCTGCAGCAGTCTCCCACCCCACCCTACCCACCAGCGTCCCCACTCTAGACTCCAGACACAAGATCTGGGCCTCACCTCTAAGGCCAGGCAGTGACCCCTCCAAAGCTACACCAGGTGAGTGCAGAGCAGGCCTGGGCCCCCGCTGAGGAGGACAGAAAGGGGGTGAGGGACTGTGAATACCCACTTGCTGGTCCTGTGCCACCCACGCGCATCTCTGCAGCTTCAGGTTCTTCCCACCCGTGAGTGAGCTGGTGGTGGAGAGATCCGGAAGCCACAGGAGGCGAGCATATGTGAGTGGATGATGTGGACTGGCGTGGGAGTGCGGACGGTGTGTCTGCGTGGGTGCGCGGCAGAGTGAGCAAAGGAACTCCGCAAGCCCTGCCTGATGGCTGTGCCGAGCCAGGTGGGGCTGGAGGGAAAGGGAGGAGAGGCCAAGTGTTACCTCTTCAAAAGCTCCTCTGCCCTGAAAAAAAAAGAAAAAGGGGGAGGAGGAGGGGGCTGCACAGTGACCCCAGTGCCCAAAGTCATCACCTTGCTCCTTGTAGGGGCAGGGCAGCACGGTCCCTGGTGAGTACCCTGGCCCGGACTTCCCCTACCAAAGGTTTCCGCAGTGGCCATTCAGGGGCCAGGGTCTTTCTGTCCCTGGCCGCCCTCCCCACCCCACCCCCACTCCGCCTTGACCCTGAACTCAGACACTTGGGCTACCCTAGTCAGCTTTACAGGTGGCCTCATTTGTCACACGCTACTCTTGTCTTCACGGCTGGCTTTATTGCCTCAGGGACCCAGCGGGATGGGCTGGAGGTTTTCTGATACTTGACCACTCTATCTAGTCTAGAAAGATCTAGATCCACCCCCTCCCAACTGAAAACCCAGCAACAGTCAGTCGGGGCACGAGGTTCTGGGGAGAAAGGAGGGAGAGGAAAGACACTTCTATCGCCTTGGTTCTGAGCTGACAGATAAAAATAGAAACTTCATTTTGGCCTTGCTGCTGGGGTAGCACCAGGACTTCTAGGGTATCAGACCATAATCAACCCGCAAGTATTTATTGAACTCCTACTTTGGATCCTGAGAGGAACTTTCTACGCACATGCTTATTTAGACATTTTTTTTATAATTAAAAGCCTGCCCATAGTTCAAGCAATTCTTGGTGAGTTGTTATTCTGAGGCCTTTATTTCTTAACCTTTGGAAGCGAACCTACTGCCCCTTGAATTATTTCTGCGACATGATTTGGGAGAGAGAAGGATCTGCGTCTCGAGTGCACACTAGGACACACTTCCCCCTAGTCCTACCAACGCGCTTAGGCCTTTCCAGCCGAACACAGCGATGCTGGCCAGCAGCACAGAGCCTGGAGAAACCCGAGCCCCCGGTCCAGCCTGTGATCTGCCCTTGATCTCAGGGTTTTGTGCGGAAGAAAAAAAACCACTTGAGACTGAAAACATCCGTCTGAAAAAGAGACAAAGGGTCTAGGGGGTGGGGTGGAGGAAGGGCGAAGGTGCCGGCGGTGAGGGGAGGAAAGGGGCCCCGGGAAGCTGGGGATGGTGTACCGGTGCTGGTGGAGTCCCGCGGTGTTCGGACTCGGGAAGCCTCCCCTCGCCCTGGCCGCCAGAACTCTCGGGGCCTCTAGGCTGGGAACAACCTCCTCCCCGCCCGCCGGGGACTTCGGAGGACATCACTCAACTGGGAGAAACTGATACCCAAGCCCGTTATCCTTGTGACCATTAATAATGCAGCGAGGATCACGATAATTAATAATAATAATGATGGGCCTCCCGAGGGAGCTCCAGCTGCCTCTGGATAAAGCGAATGTGGTGGTGAGAGGGGACTTATTCGATGGTGGAGGGAGTTGAGCGCGAAGGAGCGGCTTCGGCTCACTGAAGTTCAAGTTGACCGCCGTGGCAGGCAGAGACAGTCCTCCGCCGCCGCCGCCGCCGAGATCCACAGCGCAGGGTCCTGAGGGAGGCTGGGACCCGCTTCAGCTGTGAGGCCCTGACGTCAAGGCAAGTGCGGGTTAGCATCCAGGTCCTTTTGGAATTGGTGAGGGAGAGTGGGAGGCCTACCGCGCCGCACCTCCACTCCCACACCCCATCACTCCCAGGCTCTCCGGCCAGGTGCCAGACTGCTGTACCCTTTCAGTAGAGCGATTCTGGCTTCGGCGCTCGCTCTTCATACGCAGGCTATGTCCCTCTTGTCTCTTTCGACTCCGGAAATTTGAAGGGAACCTGGACCAAGCCGTCGGGTTGATGACTCCTTTGGACAAAGCCTAGAGGCGAGAGGCACAAGGGACTAGGAGCCATTTTGCTAGAAAGCCTTTCCTAGGGTTCCATCCCTTCTAGGGTGGACTAGGAAAGCACTTCCTGGCGACGATCTTCCTAGTCCAGCCCCTACACGTTGTATTTTCCGAAAATTAGCAGCAGCGCCCCAGACTTAAAACAAGTTCTCCATAGAACTGTAAAACAATTGCACTATCTTGGCCCTGTGAGAGCATTCATTTTGCCCCCAACTTCCCGAAACTTTCCTTTTGGGGGGGAGCTCAAAACTAATATTTTCCACCCCCCCCCCATGAAAAGGTTGGAAATAGGACCATTTCCTTCTTGTCCACGAAATGAATGTTTAATCTGAATCCTTTGTCTACTCCCCCAGGGGTGAGGGCTCGGCAAAACCCTGAACGATTTTCCTCACAGCTTATAATTGTTCAATGAACTCTCCCAAGGCTCAGTAACATATGCCAATTATTTTAATAATTTTGCTTAATATTATTAGGGGTTATAAATTTGATTTTAATAGGGGGTTGATTGCTTCAGAAGTTGGCGCTCAGGCAGCCGAGGGCCGCTGGGGAAGGGGAGCCTGGCACTTGTCACTCTGAGTATCACAAGCAGGCACACACACACACACACACACACACACACACACACACACACGCACGCGTCAGGCTGGATGAAGTGTGCTCAGCTGGCCACTGAACAGGTAGTGTGGCCTGTGGGAGGTCAGTGTTGTCCTGTTCCCAAATGCCCCTCGGGGCTGTCAAGCCTGACCTCAGCCAGAGCAAGGAGAGCAGCGAAGACTTGGCAGTCTCCCTGCCATTTGCAGGGACTCAGCCAGCCCAAGGCTTCACTGGCCCATCCGGGTAACTGTTGGGACCTCAGCCACCACCTGGATCTTCTCCCTCCCCGGGGAGCAGCTCCCCATCGCTTAGGGCCTCTCAGAGGTACAAGGAAACCCAGTGGGAGGGAGAGGTCTTGATGGTTCAGGAATTGAAAAATAATTTCCCCCATCGTACCCTTTCATTACTAAAATTATTTTTGTTTTCTTTCTTTACAGCATCTTGTTTGAAAACTCACACTAACTCCTGTAGGGGCAGAGAGCATGGTGTAGACGGTCCGGAAAACAGTGCTTCACCTGGCAATATCAGCCTTTATACTTTTCCTCTTTTATTTTGCTGCGTTATTACAAAGCTGCTCTTTGAGACCGCAGAGTGGATGCTTCCCTATCTATGAAAGCACACACACAAATTAAACATATTTCATGTATTGCTTTCTCCTGAACACAATTATTGTTGCAGGGCTGCTTAAGATAAACAGCATTTATTTATTGAGCAAGCTCTGCTTAAAATATCAAGGAAAAAAACTCGTGGTAGAAAGGAGCCCCTTTAAACTATAATCACTGGGCCAAGTTCAAAAACAAAGTACTCAGCTCAGTTTTAAATGTGCAATTAAAAATAACTGTACCTCAGCTTTTCAGAGGGAGGGAGAGAGGAAGGGGGCAGGGCAGGGAAGGAAAACAAAGAATAAGGAAATGTTTAGTGCTTTTAAAGCCAGCCCAAATAGCTGAAAGAAAGGCATTCCCTTAGATAATGGAGCCATTAGACACTCTGAAGGTTCCTGCCGCCATTCCTCACAGGGGCTTTCCAAAAATTTAATTCATTCTCAGCTACCAAACAAAGGGATGTAGAAAATAATTTTGAGACTTTCTGCCAAAGGGGCAGTTTGGCCCATTCTCTATGCATAAATAGACCTTCCTCCACAGAATGCAAGGTGACACGTCCCCCACACCCCCATCCATGCACATGCCATGCTGCAAGCTGCCTCCTTCCCATTCTCTTCAATAACTTTGCTAAGGAAAAAAAAAGTATGTTCATGCATTTTCAACACATTTTATTATATTTCTGTATGCATTACTCTCAAAACATCACAAGAAATGATCAAACCACTTAAACCTTCAAATAAAAAAATCTGAAACAGTTTATGCCCACAATTGTACATATTTATAGTTAAGAAACATTCTTTATAAATATTGTTTCCTCTGTAGCAAGTTAATACCATAATTTAATTACAAATGGATAAATATGGCAACGGATATTTACAGAAGGGTGTTATTACGGAAAAAGCTAAGGGCACAACGTTTACTCCCACCCCACCCCCCAATCTTTCATACAACAACTAACAAATCAAACTCGCAAAAGCACTGAAACATCACATGTAAACCCAGCTAACAGAAAAATACATTCACAAGCGTTGGTGGTGGTGGTGATGTGTGCTATGAGTTGGTGTGTTGAAGAAACAGAAGGGAGACTTTGGCACGGCTCATTTTTTCCAGTCTATAGTTGGTTGCATGAAGTTTACAATCAAGTTGCCTCATTAAAAGGAACACAATATTTAATACCACAATACGAAATAAACCATTTTCTTCCACATTACTCAAAAAAGAAACCGGGTAAACTAATAGGAAAAGAAAAGGCCCATCACTTGGGGAAGGGGGTGGGAAGAAAGGCGGGAAGGAACGCAATCCGGAGTTTACAAATGGACAAACTTCTATCCACCAATAAGCCATTAAAATCACCGTGGAAAAGGAAGGAGTCCGCCATGGCTATGTACAGTTGGTCAAAAGACTGGGAAGCGTGTGCGGGGGACAGGGGCTTGCTAGGGAAGTTTGGCTTTTCGTGGAGTTTACTTTCTTAAAATTTTTATTATTTTATGTTATGTTTTCAGCTTCAGAGACACACAGAGAGATTTTGCTTTTCATGCCTTGATTGTTTAAAAAAAACTTTTAAAAATCCTTCTGCTGGTAAAACTTTTTTTTTCATCACCATAAAAATCAGATTCATGATTTTAACAACACGATCCTAAGGTGCCCTCGGTGGGTTTTGGGAGGGCTGTGGTGGAGGGGATAACAGGGGACGGGAGGAAGGCCTGGCCCCTCACACGTACCATTCATTGAAGTTGGAGGAGAGGCCGCTATGGCCTCCGGCTGTCCCGCTGCCCCCTCCAGAGCCGCCGCCGCCCCCGCCGCCCGCCAGGAGGAAGCTCGCGCTGCTCTTCGCCATGCTCTGCATCTGGCTCTACATGTTCCTGTACTCGTGCGCCGGCTCT